ATTCTAACACATACCATAAATCGTAAGAACACAAAAATCAGGAAGTTTTCTTACATCAAAAGTCACATTCCAAGGAAGGCGGAAGCGTTCGTAAATTGCCCGACTGGTAGCAAATATCGACCCAACCACCTACTAGCAAGGTTGTCAATGGCTCTCCCTTTCAAGTGTAGTTTAGAATCAAGATGATACCAACTTAATATCGGGGCCAACGAAAAATTTGCACTGTAAAGAAATTGCTTGTTCCACCGGAGGAGCGCTTAAGTCTTTGAAGATTTAGCGCGAGAAGGATGCTACTTTCCACAGCGCCGTTCCTGCCAGTAACCCTATACAACTGAAGCAAAATCCCACCGCAAAACACCAAAATCCTGAATTTCAATGTCGCCCGTCAGATGAACTGGGGAAAAAAAACCCAGACGATTTGACACCAGAATTTTGTTAAGAAATACTTTTTTTGCAGCTTGTCGCTTAAAAGTTCTTTCCTGACGGAAATCGGTCGCCATCCAATGCATCTCTTCCTGCAGATAATCCCATTGTGTTTTGTTTCGCGGTGGCATTTCGATCATCGGTAATCGCGAGGCCGTCCAAAGACCTTGCCGACGCAACTCCGCAATTCGTGCCAGTACCTGCGCCTCCTGCAATCAAATAAACATAACACATGCATATTCCATTACGGTTAATGCATTAAAATATTCTTGGAAAATGGGAATGAACCGTTATCCATGAACACACACACACACACACACACACAGCTCATTTGAGAAAAAAGCGATATCGGAAAAGCTAAATTACAAAACACAATTGATTCAATATCTAAGACTAAGACCGAATCCTGTCATTTTTAAAAATTGGCGTAACATGGAAACTTCTGCATGATCCCCTTCTAGTACAGCATTTCTTAATGCCAAAATAATAGCTATTACAGTACTAGTAGCAAAATTACTCGCAGAAAGCTCGATCATCATAAACAATGGAAAGAATATGATGCAAATATCCCTGTTCAGGAGGAAACTCAAGAAGAAACGTCTTCCCAAACATATACCACATATTTTCATTCGTTAAAAAAGCTCAGAGCGGAGGGAATGAGTTCTAAAATTTGAAATATATTACCTGCTTGGCAACTCGCTCAACGCTCGATTCCGCTCCAACCACAGAACTTCGAGGTGTGGAGAGTGCTGTCACTGATGGTGCAGAGGGTGTTGGCTGGAGCACAACAGTTGATGTGGACGGCTGCTGCTCCATGTATGATGAACACGGCTAAAAGCAACAGTCTTTTTAAAAATACGGAGAAGGCCTAGGCTGATGATTCAAATTAGGCAGCGAAAAAAAAAAAAAACAGCCGCAGAAATTGCTCCGATGCAAGTTCATAATGGAGCATGCCACAGATCAAAAGCCACCATTAGTTTGCTTTTAAGCAACGCTTTAAAAAAGCCAACAAATAGCTTTACTAGCAGATGAATGCTGTTGTATGTACGCTGTTACTCCAGTTACTTGCAAGTGTCCTTGCTTCTCATGCAAAGTGAAATATGGTACGGATTTTTGCTGTCGCTTGCAACCGAAAAAATATGGCAATCAGGAGGGGGAAAAATTTCATAGTTTGAAGGACGACTTTCACCAATTCTTCAATTAATTAACCATTAAGATCCATGCTACTCTCAGGATCATGCCAAGAAGTTTCATTTCCCACTCTCATCCCTACCTTTCTGGCTACTCTACTATTTCACAGCCCCTACGTTACTTCGAAAGCTAGCTTCTGATTGTATGGTATGTCACATTATCGTTATTCAAGCATTTATATGGTCCAGTTGGCAGATGAGGTGCATTTGTGGCTTACAAAAATAGCACGTTGGGTCTAAATCGTCTTGCATAATACTACCAGGCCATGCGTTTCGGGAACAGTAAAAAAATGATTACAGAAGCCAAGGAAAGAGTGGTTTTGTCAGAGCAATCATCGAAAGAACGAAATGTCTAAAGCATTCACAGAAAACGTAATAAATCAGAAAGGAAGACAGCGAAATGGCCGTGACGATGATGCAACAGCTATTTTAAGTGCCGGAACTATTTTAAAGAATGTACACTTACCGAAGCGGTAACTTCCACCTTAATCTGAATTGGTGGAAGTGAAGACGGGGACGCTTCCTGCGTCTGTTCTTCCAACTGAGGTTGCATGTCCAAAGTTCCAGTTCCAGAAGGTTCCAGCGAAGGACCCAGCAACGCTTTAAAAGTAATGCCCGAACTGAAAATGCATAAGATCCCGCTGAATTCAAAAATGCAAAAAATTCGGAAAAGTCGACATCTCTATCAAAAAATTTAAAAAAGCAAGGTCAAAATAAATATCTCCATTTCTACCTCAGTGGGCGAACTCCCCTCCCTCGTTCCCCCCCCCCCCCCCCCCCCCCCCCCCCCCCC